CTTTCCCGCGACCATGGGTAACGTTTCCTAAAAGTTCTCTAAAGGTGACGAACATTCCGAACCTTTACAGAACATTAGGGACGTTCCTGAAACGTCCTCTTTTGGTAATGAAAGTGCTGCAGTTCAGTACGTTCCTTAAATGACTTTAGGGGGACGTTCCGTAATGATAATCTTATGGTCACATAACAACGTTACAAAGAGGACGTAATCAAAACGTTCTCATATGGGTCTAAGTTGGTCCTATTATAACGTTCCTTAAATTACTTTAGGGAGACGTTCCGTAATGGTAATCTTATGGTCACATAACAACGTTACAAAGAGGATGTAATCAAAATGTTCTCATATGGGTCTAAGTTGGTCCTATTATAACGTTGCTTATAGGACTTTAGGGGGACGTTCCGTAATGGTAATCTTATGGTCACATAACAACGTTACAAAGAGGATGTAATCAAAACGTTCTCATATGGGTCTAAGTTGGTCCTATTATAACGTTCCTTAAATTACTTTAGGGAGACGTTCCGTAATGGTAATCTTATGGTCACATAACAACGTTACAAAGAGGATGTAATCAAAACGTTCTCATATGGGTCTAAGTTGGTCATATTATAACGTTCCTTATAGGACTTTAGGGAGACGTTCCGTAATGATAATCTTATGGTCACATAACAACGTTACAAAGAGGATGTAATCAAAACGTTCTCATATGGGTCTAAGTTGGTCCTATTATAACGTTCCTTAAATTACTTTAGGGAGACGTTCCGTAATGGTAATCTTATGGTCACATAACAATGTTACAAAGAGGACGTAATCAAAACGTTCTCATATGGGTCTAAGTTGGTCATATTATAACGTTCCTTATAGGACTTTAGGGAGACGTTCCGTAATGATAATCTTATGGTCACATAACAACGTTACAAATAGGACGTAATCAAAACGTTCTCATATGGGTCTAAGTTGGTCCTATTATAACGTTCCTTAAATTACTTTAGGGAGACGTTCCGTAATGGTAATCTTATGGTCACATAACAATGTTACAAAGAGGACGTAATCAAAACGTTCTCATATGGGTCTAAGTTGGTCATATTATAACGTTCCTTATAGGACTTTAGGGAGACGTTCCGCAATGGTAATCTTATGGTCACATAACAACGTTACAAAGAGGATGTAATCAGAGCGTTCTCATATGGGTCTAAGTTGGTCATACAATGACGTTCTTTATGTGACTTTAGGGGAACGTTCCATATCGGTTATTTTATGGTCACATAGCAACATTACAAAGAGGACATAATAAGGACGTTCCCATATGGTTCTCTGTTGACCATATGAGAACGTTTTGTGACTAACTTAATGAGAACATTCTCATATACATCATGTTTTGTGCGCGGTGATGTGGGACGAACCGAGGTTCAACTTCCGTCAACTTCTGTCACGTTTATCTGGTTTGTCTGCGGGCTGGACCCTTCTCGGACGGACACCTGACGGCGGTCTTTTTCCTGTTTTCTTCACCGACAGCGAGCCAGAAAAAGCCAATGTGATTATCATGTAAAGTTATTTTAATGAACCATTGTCGCGTAGATGGTCAGGCTATATTGGCTTTTTTTTTTAGATAAACAAGCTAACGTAAGCGCTAGGCCTATTCCAATTTGCTTATTTTAACTCTTGTTTACATAGCCTGCAGGGTCTCCTCACGAAATCTAAGCGGCATAAAGTTCAATGCGAGGGTCTTTAGAATATGTTTGTATTATTTTTGTCTCTTTTCTTTTATTGTCATTTTTTCCTATTATTTGGTAAAGGCTACACCACTTTTCCATGGGAAAAAAGTTGTGGTGATCCCGCTATTTGGCTCGTTGATGTAAAACAGTCTTTTACAATTGTTATTATAAAATCAAGAATGCAGACGTTTTAAGCTCAGCAACAATGGCAGCAAAATGTACACCGTATATAAAAAAAAACTCCTGACACACACACAGAGCCTGCAAATCAGGTTGAAGCGGAGAAGCATCAGCTTCTTATTCTTTAAATATAACAGAAGACCTTAATAGGACAAAAAAATTATATTCTAAGTTGGTCCCTAAAAGTTCTGCAGGACGTTCTCAGAATGTTTTGGAAACATTGGATTTCTGAATTAAATATGGTCTTCTAAACGTTTCCAGAACGTCCTGAATGTTCCCTGAAGGTCCTCCAAATAACGTCCCCAAACCCTTTAAAGAACTCCACATCGTGACTGTCTGTGAACGTTGTAGGAACATTACTGTAACGATCAGCTGGAGTGCCCTCGAGAGCCACCAGAGGGCGCTCCACAATAGACTATGATCACTTCCTCACAAACTACATTTCCCATAACTCACTGCCCGGATTCATCAGCACTCATTTCATTCACCTGTGTCTTATCACCTTGTTTCTCTCACACCATAAATACCTGGTTTTCACATTCACTCGGTGCAAAGTATTGCTTTCCCAGTGAACTATTCTGAGCGTTTGTACCCTGTGTTTGTTTACCTGTTACGACTTTATCTGGACCTTACCTCTCGTTGTCTGCTGCCTGCCTTACTCTCTGCCTGGACTCTGTATTCTGATTGTTTCGCCGCCTGCCCCGACCCTTTGCCTGTTCTTGGACTCTGATTGTGTGTATTCTGCTCTGCTTATATCCCTGGTATTCAACCCTTGCCTGTCTGACCCTGTTATTTAATAAAGCCTGCAAATGGATCTCTCCTCGTCCGCTGCATCATTACAATTACCAAGCGACGTTCTTGACACCATCGGGACGTTCTCAGAATGTTTTGGAAACATTGGATTTCTAAATTAAATATTGCTCTCTAAACGTTTCCAGAACATCCTGAATGTTCCCCGAAAGTCCTCCAAATAACGTCCCCAAACCCTTTAAAGAACTCCACATTGTGACTGTCTGGGAACGTTGTGGGAACATTACCAAGCGACGTTCCTGACACCAGCGGGACGTTCTCAGAATGTTTTTGAAAACATTGGATTTCTGAATTAAATATTGTCCTCTAAATGTTCCCAGAACATCCTGAATGTTCCCTGGAGGTCCTCCAAATAACGTCCCCAAACCCTTTAAAGAACTCCACATTGTGTCTGTCTGGGAACGTTGTGGGAACGTTACCAGGCGACGTCCTTGACACCAGCAGGGACGTTCTCAGAATGTTCTGGGAACATTGGATTTCTGAATTAAATATTGTCCTCTAAACGTTCCCAGAACATCCCGAATGTTCCCTGAAGGTCCTCCAAATAACGTCCCCAAACCCTTTAAAGAACTCCACATCGTGTCTGTCTGGGAACGTTGTGGGAACGTTACCAGGCGACATCCTTGACACCAGCAGGGACGTTCTCAGAATGTTCTGGGAACATTGGATTTCTGAATTAAATATTGTCCTCCAAACGTTCCCAGAACATCCTGAATGTTCCCTGAAGGTCCTCCAAATAACGTCCCCAAACCCTTTAAAGAACTCCACATCGTGTCTGTCTGGGAACGTTGTGGGAACGTTACCAGGCAACGTCCTTGACACCAGCGGGGACGTTCTCAGAACGTTCTGGGAACGTAAAATTTCTAACTGGGTACTTCCAGCAGGATAATGCACCATGTCACAAAGCTCGAATCATTTCAAATTGGTTTCTTGAACATGACAATGAGTTCACTGTACTAAAATGGCCCCCACAGTCACCAGATCTCAACCCAATAGAGCATCTTTGGGATGTGGTGGAACGGGAGCTTCGTGACCTGGATGTGCATCCCACAAATCTCCATCAACTGCAAGATGCTATCCTATCAATATGGGCCAACATTTCTAAAGAATGCTTTCAGCACCTTGTTGAATCAATGCCACGTAGAATTAAGGCAGTTCTGAAGGCGAAAGGGTGTCAAACACAGTATTAGTAATGGTGTTCCTAATAATCCTTTAGGTGAGTGTATACACTACCGTTCAAAAGTTTGGGGTCAGTGAGAATTTTATTTTTATTTTTTGGAGGAAAGAAATCAATACTTTTATTTATCAAGGACAGTAAAGACATGTATAATGTTACAAAAGATTCTATTTCAAACAAATGCTGTTCTTTTGAACTTCCTATTCATCAAAGAATCCAAAAAAAAAAAAAAAAAAAAACTGTACAACTGACAGACCAACAACTGTTTCAACCATGATAATAATAATAAATGTTTCTTGAGCATCAAATCCTCATATTATACTGATTTGTGAAGGATCATTTGACACTGAAGACACTGACACTGGTGATGCTGAAAATTCAGCTTTGATCACTGGAATAAATTACACTTTACTATATATTCACACAGAAAACAGCTGATTTACACTGGAATAGTATTTAATACTATAACTAATTTTTGTTGAATTTTTAATCAAATAAGCGCAGCCATGGTTAGCAGAAGAGAATTCTTTTAAAAGTATTTAAAATCGTACCGACCCCAAACTTTTGAACGGTAGTGTATATATATGCTGAATATACTGTAATGTATGTATAATACTGTATGATGAATTAATATCCTAAAGGCACATCTGTTTAATTGAGCATCATAAATCTAATGGACCTAATCCAAACAAAGTGTGTATGTGCTGGTTGGCTGCAAATAGTGTTCTACTAAATAGTATTGGGTCTCTTGTCTCTTCGCTAAATGTCAGAGCAATTTTGCAGAATTGCTCTCATCTCTGGAGGCTGCAGTACGGCTGAAAATCCAGACAGATTTAAGACGTTGAAGGGCAAATGTAGTGCATCTGTCAACACGCAGATGTCATGTGAACATGATCCACTTATAGGGCACTACAGCCCGCCTTACATAGAGATTAATTATGAATGGTTTTTAATGTGTCCTGCTTAAACTCAGACAAATATACATCAGCTTATGTATCATTTTTATAGAGTCGCATACTTTATATCACATATGTTTTTCTTTTTTATATCTCTCTCTCTCTCTCTCTCTCTCTCTCTCTCTCTCTCTCTCTCTCTCTCTCTCTCTCTCTCTCTCTCTCCAGTGAAATGAAGAAGGCGCTGGTTGAGGAGGGCAGTCGGTCTGTTCTGCTGTCACGGCAGCACAGGTTTAATGAGCGCTGCTGCATCCGTTGCTGTTCTCCCTTCACCTTCCTGCTCAACCCCAAGCGTTCCTGCCTGGACTGTTGTTACAACGTCTGCAAGGGATGCTGCACCTACAGTAAGAAGGACAAAGGCTGGCTGTGCTCCGCCTGCCAGAAGACTAGGTCAGTATTGTCGTGCTAACAAGAGCTGTTGTGGTTTGGAGATAGAGTGAGAGCAAGCTCTGTCAGGGGGCTTAAGTGGGAAACACCTGCAGTTTAAAGGCTCATGATGCTTCTGTTATTGGTTGGTATTAGGGGTTAAAACTAGGGATGAATGTTATAGTGTAACGTATTGGTTATTGGTTGATATTAGAGATTGTTTTATTTTTAGTCAGTATTGGATATTTAATTGTGCATGCTCATTTCTACAGTATTTTTACATTTATATTACCTTTGCCATCATCTAATGCTCACTTAAAGCAAATATTTAAAAACACTATCAATTTAATAACACAGCTAAATATAATCTTTATATTTTATATCTTAATCTTTATAATGCTGTGATGCTTAAATTCACTTGTAGTAACATTTACTGCATACCTGTCAACACTCCCGTTTTTCCCGGGTTTCTCCCGTTTTTTAGCCCTATCTCCCGGACCCCTCCCGGTTTGTTATTTCTCCCGGGAAACTCCCGTAATTTGCATGGCCCAAACTCCTTTATGAATAATCGGACCAATATGTTTGTCTAATGTTGACCAGTTGCCAGATTGTATTAAATGCATTATATTCACACAATCCACAGACCATTTACAATTTCAACCCGTTTGTCACCTCAACCTGGCAACCTATAACCCAGTTGCGCAGTCGCGGAAAGTTTAACCCGAAAGCGAGCCGATAGACATGATGGCAGGTGAAGGTGGTGTCCCCGCAATGAAACTGAAGTACAGTTTGTAACGCGTTGCTTCAGGAAGATTAGGGATAGCTCACAACTGAAGTTATTGCATGCAGAGGCCAGACAGACACACGGAGGCGATTGGCATCTCACAACTCGCACTTTATTCCCAAATCTAACTCGTGTAGCCTAATCTCCCGGATTTTGAAAACCAAATGTTGACAGGTATGATTTACTGTAAGTACACTTTTAAGTTTACAGTACTATTTTAATTTAGTTTAATTTTATTTTTAATATTTAGACAAAATAATATAGCATATCAGCCAGATTAATGTTTGTGTATTCCTAGTAAACTGAAAACTGAATCTGGTTTTCTTATACAGCATTTTCTTATGCATTTAAAATCAACTAATTTCCATGATGTAGTAAAGTGTACAGTGATTCTAAATCAATCTAAACTAAATCTATTGTAATTGAAAAGAGCTCAATTTTTCAATTTTATTTTCCACTGAAACAACAAAAACAACATCCTGAAGAGTTCAGGACTAGTTCTGTGAATGGACAGTTTCAATGTGAAAATATGTTTATAACAAGGCACTTCCATTAAGGGGTTCAGACAACATTGTTCAAGTCATCAAAGTAATTATGTATAATACAAGTATACAGCATGACATGATATGCACTCAGAAGCCTTTGTAAATGTCACAGAGTGCTGTTGGTTACAATACAACTCAAAGACAGAAACTATTTTTGTGCTTCTTATGCTTGCTGGTTAGCAAAATCAATTTAAACCTACATTTTAGGAATGCATTTGTCCTTCAGAGTGCATCTCTGTTTCTATGTGATGTGAATACATAGTGCTGTGACATCTTTAATTAAACCCAAGAGCTTTACAAGCTTTTGTCCTACAAAAATCTTTCAGTTCTATACAAAACATCATGTTTATTTATTTTTAAAAGGGTTGTTTCTTCTCTTTACTACCAATACATACACACTCACACTTGAACAGAAATTATGTCCATCAGTGGAATTTAATTTTGATACTACACGCATCCACTCTAGTTCTCTTACGAGAGGTTCTCTCGTACTGCGTAATATCTTACGCTAGGGGAAAACCTCTTTTCCACGAGATATTGAAACCAAAAATTATCCTTAATTTTGAATGAATGTAAAACGTGTTGCGGCAGCATGCAGACATAGGCAAGACGACTCGCGTGCCTATTGGCTGTCCTGCGGCAACTGCAGCAGCCTATCGAGAGAGGCCCTTGGTGACGTCAGATCCAATGGGGGCTTTTCGTGCCCACTGCATCCCGTCCTGCCGAGACGGGCGTGGCCTGGGCCTATAAATACAGCTCGATGGGCTGATATAATCTGATTTTTCATCTCTTCAGCGAAGCTCACGCATCGCTGGATCCGGAGTGAAGAAGCCGCGCCGTCTGAGAAAAGCCTTCTGCGGGACGAGCCTTTGCATCTGAAGCCGCTGGCCTTCATCTCGCCGCCTTCAGTCGCCGTACCTGCTACGCTTTCCGGCGTTTATATCCTTTTACTCTGCCGAGTGTGTGTGTTCGCCGCTGTGACTCACACTCTCTCTATCTAAAAAAGCAGCGTCTTTTTAAAGATGCCTCGTTCCTGTGGCTCGTGCCGAGCCGCACTCAGCGACGGGGACCGCCATGTCATCTGCGTTTCCTGTCTGGGTAAGGATCATGCAGCTCTCGCGCTCGCTGATGGCGGCTGCCATCATTGCGAGCTATTGCCCATGGTGACTCTGAGGACTCGTCTGGCTTTTTTCTCCGAGTCTGCACTTCCGCCCGCTATAGTCTCCAGCCTGCGAAAGCTCGCCTGTTCACCCGCCAGCTTCACCAGCTTCACTCGAGTCGCTCACTGACGGACAACGACCGCCGTCCGCCGCCGCTTCCGCCATTGATGACGACGAGATGGCTGCATCTGTAGAGGAGGCCAGTTGCTCTATGCTGGTGTCGGACAGTGAGGATTGGGCGAGCTCTGTGGACCCCCCCCCCCCCCTCTGCCCGCGAGTCGTCAGGGAAACGGGCCACCATTGAATCCGAGCTGATGCGTCTTCTCTCACAGGCCGTGGCGAGCCTCGGCCTTGAGTGGGCGGCGCCCGCGCAGCCTGCGCACAACCGACTGGATGGATGTTTCCTGCAAAGGGACCGCGCTCCACCGTCTTCTAGGCCTGCGCCTTTTCTTCCTGAACTTCATGAAGAAGTCGTGAAGTCTTGGAACGCCCCCTTTTCAGCCAGAGTGCGTACCTCTGTCTCAGCAGCATTCTTCGTGGTGGACGGCGCTAAAGACCGGATATCAATCTCTTCCTCCAGTAGAAGAAGCTGTAGCGGCCCATCTTTGCCCGCCCTCTGCTGGTCGGCGAGCTGAGACGGTGCTACCTTCTAAAGCTTGCCGCGTTACTTCCGCTATGCACAGCCGCGCTTATACTGCCGCTGGGCAGGCTGTATCGGCATTGCGCGCTCTCACTCTGCCGGCCGCCGGCATTCCGGCCATGGTCGTTGGTGTTATGAGTGTAATAAAAATGCCCACAACCCAGTGTTCATTCCTACACACAAGCACAGCCCACCACAGTACAGGGCTCGCACAAATAAAATTGACTCATGTCAATTGTGCATTAAATGTAGTGAATGTGCCCACAACCCAGTGCCCACAAACACTACACACTGCATGTCCCACAGTTTCTGTAAAAACGAAACCAACACACATACAGTCAGCTCAGACCGACGGTGTTTTCAGTGCAGTAAATGTGCCCGCTGTCCCGCGCCCACATTCACTCACAGACATGTTAAGCCTCACAGGGTTTGCCCCGCTCGCTCTCTCAGCAAACTGCCATAAGTCGAGCCCGGCCAGGCTGCCCGCCGTGATCGGCGCGCCCCCTGCCTCAAATGCTGCAAGCACAGCGTTTAAGTTACAGCACACCGAAGCTCTCCGGTCGCCACTATGTTGCGGCCAGAGCCCAGATCTCATTCTACCTCTAGCTATTCATGAAAATGCATGGGCAAAGCTTCCCGGGGTATCAGAATGGGTGCTGAACATTATAAAAAGAGGCTATTCGCTGCAGTTCGCTCAACGTCCCCGCCGCTACACGGCACGGGTCGAAACTACGGTAAAAACTGAAGTAGCTCATCTACTTCGAGCCGAAATAGCGAAACTATTGAGCAAAGGGGCCATAGAGACTTTATCTCAAGCTCAGAGCGAAGGGGGTCTATACAGCAGATATTTTCTGGTACCGAAAAAAGACGGGGCTCTCAGACCCCTTCTAGATCTAAGACAGCTGAACAAAGTGCTTGTGAAACGCCAGTTCAGAATGCTCACAACCAGGAAAATTCTCGTGCAGATTTGCCAAGAGGACTGGTTTATGTCAATAGATCTGAAGGACGCGTATTTCCAAATACAAATAGCGTCACGTCACAGGCGATTCTTGAGATTCGCCTTCGAGGGCCAGGCATATCAATACACAGTCCTACCGTTCGACCTGTCCCTAGCACCCCGTACATTGACAATGTGCATGCGCTCAGCACAATCTGCGCTCATTGAGAGCAGCACATGTGCCTGGTCACCTGAATTTGGGACCAGACAGACTGTCCAGAAACAATGTTCCAGCAGGAGAATGGTCTCTGCACCCGCAGACTGTCCCACTGCTGTTGAAGACATTCATTCGCTCCTGCCTCAGGTATTGGAACGAATCAGAGAAAACGGATGCTCAGTGCTACTTGTGGCTCCGCTCTGCAAAAACCAAGCTTGGTTCCCAGTTCTGATGCAGCTGACAAGCACAGCCCCATGGCCAATACCGATGAGGAAAGACCTCATCTCTCAATCCAAGGGCTCGATTTGGCATCCTCGCCCGGAGCTGTGGTCCCTACATGCATGGGCCATCAACAGGTACCCACTAACCTCCCAGAGGGAGTGTTAAACACGATCACGCAGGCTAGAGCCCCGTCTACTAGATGACTCTATTCCTCAAAATGGTCTGTGTTTTCTGGCTGGTGCAAAGCTTGAGGCTTTTCACCCCTAGACTGTGGGGTTAGGGAAGTTCTCTCCTTCCGTCAAGAGCTACTGGATAAGGGCAGAACCCCATCCATGCTCAAGGTTTATGTGACGGCCATAGCAGCGTTTACTAAACCAGCGACTGGCCAGTCACCGGGGAAGAACGATCTGGTCATCCGCTTCCTTAAGGGAGCTAAGAGGCTGAATCCTCCCAGACCCCCTTCAGTCCCCATGTGGGACCTTTCGACGGTTTTGGAAGCCATGAAAGGTGCCCCGTTCGAGCCAATCCATTTAACAGACATGAAACATTTGTCGTTCAAGACAGTGTTTCTAATGGCTCTTGCTTCAGTGAAGTGCATAGGGGATTTACAAGCGCGATCTCAGTAAGCGCGACGTGTATGGAATTTGGACCAAATGACTCGAAAGTCATACTCAAACCAAGACACGGGTACGTGCCTAAATGCCTCAACACACCGTTCAGGGCTTAGGTTATTTCCCTGTCTGCCCTGCCGGTTTGCAACGAGGAAAAGGTCGCGAGCTTCCTTTGCCCAGTCAGGGCATTAAGAGCTTATGTGTCTCGCTCGTCTGTTTTCAGATAGACTGAGCAGCTCTTCGTTTCGTTCAGCAGACGTTCTAAGGGACTAGCCGCATCGAAACAGAGGCTATCCAGATGGATAGTTGATGCTATAGCGCTGGCCTACACTTCTAAAGGCTTGCAGTGTCCTTTGGGTGTCAGAGCGCACTCCACAAGAGGCGTGGCCTCGTCATGGGCTTGGTCTAGCGGGATTACCTTGCAGGATATCTGTATGGCGGCAGGCTGGGCCTCCCCGTCTACATTTATAAGGTTTTATAACGTAGAGGGTCCCGCCTTACATGCTAAACTACTTTCGGTCTAAAGATCAGTACTGTCTGCCCCGTTGCTTTGGCTCAGAATACTGAAACCGCTTGAGCACCGCTCGCTGATCGATAAAATAACTCCATGGGCAATGAGTAAGACCCATACTGTTACCCAATTCAGGCCGAACATTTTCACCCTGACTGTGTGAAACACTGCAACAGTGATTAGCTCCCTTAGGATGCTACTTATTGGGAATGACGCTTCTAGCCTCTCTTCTCAGACTCTCTGTGAGTCCCTGGTGTTTATGCACCATATGAGCCCCGGGCACCTGCCCTTGGGACTTTGGTGTTGGATCCCAGCACGCACGGCGTTTTACACTGTGTTCCCCTAGCGTAAGATATTACGCAGTACGAGAGAACCTCTCGTAAGAGAATGTACTCGGTTACTAACGTAACCTCGGTTCTCTCTAGAAGATGTTTATAATGTTTATAGACAGACAGATATATACGGTATGCAGTAACCTATATACAGTATATGTTGCTTATTTTGTCTAGTCAATTACATAAATGCATAAACAAGTAATTTCCATTAAAGGTGCAGTGTGTGACTTTTAGCGACATCTAGCGGTTCGGTTGCGAGTTTACACTAAGGGCTCAGCCCACCGCTCACCCCTCCCTTTCGTAAAAGCTACGGTGGCTAAAACGGGACAAACATCGTCGTCTGAGACAGCTGAGAATAGCCAGCGTAAACCAAGTTTCTGTACCACAGTCCATTATAAACCACATCATGGATAAAGTTTCAGGTGAGGATCAAGGGTCTTAATACATAATATAATAATAGTAATCAGCTGATTGTCTCACGAACGTAACCAGGGCATTTCTCCCCACATAGCAAACCCATAATACAGCAAGGGAGAAGAACCACATGAAACTATGCAACTATATATTTTTTCTAACAGGGTAGTAAAAGTTTAGCTGGCTAATATGAGCTGTTACTGTGGCTGAGCTGGTTAAAGCGTAAAGCATTGTTTAAACTCGACGCGTCCGCATGAGCCCAAAGGTGCGTGCGGCAAAAATGACGTGATTGTAACAGCGCGCGCGCCTCCGCATCCCCTACACACCACTTACTACACACAATAGGCTTTTTTTCTTTGATTTTGGAAACTATATCGACTTAAAATGCTTCCAAGATCGACGGGTTGGTGATTCCTGTAACTGTTTTACGGTCAATGACAAGAGTAGCCTACTAATCAGCTGTCTCACGAACTTAACCAGCACATTTATCCCCACATAGCAAAGCCATAACACAGCGAGGGAGAAGAATTAAGTTACATGAAACAATCCAACTACATATTTACACCACTGACAAGGGAAAAGTCACTACTCACGGTGTTTATGACTAGCTTCTTCTAGCTTCCTGCGGCTTCTCTTTCAAGGTAGTGACGAAACGTGCTCTGTAACGCTGTTTGTTCGCTGTCGGCTACGGTAGAAACATGATGTCACAATATGGCGACCTTCATAGAAGGGGATTCCCGCACCTATGTAGATATAAATGCCTCATTCTAAGGTAATAAAAACATTACGGTTTATTAAGTAAGTTCTTTATACACCACTGAACACATAGTTATGGATGTCATATTGCATTTCTGTTAATAGATACTCAAAAATGGTACACATTGCACCTTTAACAGAATAAAATGCCTTTTTCTTTTTTGTGGGAAAAATATAATTTGTCCTCAAGGGCTATCTGGAGTCTGTACATAATGGTGAAAGGACGCAGAATGCTATTTTAAGCATGAAAACAACACTGTGTTGTCTTTACTAACCTCTCATATTTCTCTGCATATAAAAAAAACAGATGATAACAACATGGTTGTCAATGTAATAATGCTAACTTAATTGTTGATTTATACACAATTTTGGCTTGGTCCCTGGACCACAATAATAAAGATCCTTCTGATTTTTTTAATGTCCTGCTTTTAGAGTTTTTTTTTTTTTAATAAATAAATATTTTAAACTCTGAAGCAGTCTTTTTTTTCTTGTCTTTTTAACAGCATTTCTTACTGTGTATACCAACTAAACAAAAATCTTATATGTCCCCAACAGACAATTCCTCTAAAAATACTCATTTTAATTCAGATTATTGTTGGACTTCTGCTATCAGTGGCATGGCAACATTGGGCTACTATATTTGTCTTTCGGGCAGTCTGTTATACTGATTATACTAGTATACAATTGTATACTAGTATAATTACAGTCTTAACAGCAAACAAGGTCTTTGATATTGAGCATGCTTTTAAAAGTGCATGTCTACTCTGACCTTTCTGTCTATGTATTATTTGTATGCGCTTGTTGATTATAGGACCTTGTTTCTATGATTATAGGACAAATGTCATACTCTGCATAATCACAACATACTGTACTTATATTGTCAAAGCAAAGGTTTTAATCAGTGTAAAGTAAACAAAATCTCAGGAATGTGCTTAAATAAGCACGATAATGTGGCCTTGTTTGTGTATTTTCAGGCTACTGAAGACCCAGTCACTGGAATGGTTCTACAATAATGTGAGAAGGCGTTTTAAAAGGTTTGGCAGTGCTAAAGTGTTAAAGAACCTCTACAGGAGGCATGCGGCCGAGCGTGGAGTGCTAGCAGAGCCTACAGGTACTCGCCATCTGGACTTTTGTATGACCTTCCTTTAAAATAAAGGATGTTTTCACACTGACATTTTATAATGTATTTTGGTATATATTTGCTATGTTTTGGAGTTAAAAGAGCTGTTTACATGTTGCAAATTTGTAAGAGTTTCTCCATTTCAAATACCATCTGCATCCGGAGGATATTTCAGTTTTGGATTGTCCTTCAAGCTCTAGCACTGTCTTTTACACTGTTCATGTTTGCATCTACAGTATTAGCACTAATTCATAAGGGTTAAGGAAAGAGCAGGCAGAGATACTATAATCTGATTTACCTCCTCTGTCTCTGATTTAGCAGCAGCAGGATAAAAAAAAAAAAGACCTGATGGATTCTTGCCCAATTGTATTCCTAACATTTAAATATTAAATAAAAATTGCATATGTATATTTACATTACTTAGTACTTACTTAATCAGATAAATCATTTAATCGCTTTCCTAAATTAAAAACTTTAGTGGAGCACAAAAAGAAATGAATCATAAATGAATTGAAATTGAAAAATCAATGCAACAGATTTGACTATTATTTTAATAATAGTAAAACACACTGTAAAAATATTAGGCCCATCCATACATCTGAACCTGCACAATACATAGTTATCTACAATATACAGTTGTCATTTTTAAAGTGGTAGAAAAATATTCTACTGGAAAATATACTGTGAAAGTACAGCAACTAATAGCCAGAAATATACTACACTACACCTTTGTTTGGAAGTATAAAAAAAAGTATCTCAAAGCTTATTTTCTTCTTCCACACCAGCTCGAAGGCTCCTTTACTTGTGTTTGTGGGCACAACGAGTTATGATCTGTGCTCAGCCTCTGTTTCAGTTTTGCTGTGGTCTGTGAACAAAAAATGTCTTCTCCATTAAGAGAAAGGGAGTTAAACGCAAGGCCAATGGCACATTAACAATGGATGACCATGACTGTGGTTGTTTGTCACCTCAGCAGACCCCTGTAACCTCTGAGGAAGAATAGCTCTCTGTGGAAGAGAGAAAAAAAGCATTGCAGTGACAATGAAAAATAAAGAGCTTCGGCCACAAAACTCTCTGCACCATGTGGTCAGGCCTTGAAAATTTGATGCAGAGAAAAGCTAGAAAGATAATCTGTTTGAGTTTAATGTCGGACAAGTGCTAAGAATGGAGCAATAAGCTTATAGCATTATAGGATAGGTTTTTAAGCTGCAACATCAGTCTTCAGCTTTATCTCATAGAAAAAGCTAGATTTATAACATTACTTTGATTTGCTCTCCGCAGTAGAGTGTAGGCGTAAACATTGGCTCATTGTAAAGGGGTAGCAGGTGACTTCAGAGGCAGTTTGACCTTCACCGGATCAAGGAAAGCACTTTACAGGGCTCTATGTGGAGCTGAGGCCATATTGATATGTCAGTAGTTACCCATCAAATGATTTGTCATCCGACTGCTCTCTGAGACTGAGACAGGGTCTGTCAGAGTGAGAGAAACCCGTCGACTCCGACTAGTAAATCATGTGTCGCAGCTGGAAGTGCTGTCGAATCTCTCAGGAAGCGCTTGTCAACAACAAGAACAACAACAACAGAAATGTGTGATGCAAATCGTTATACTTAATCTTTCCTTTTTCATATTGAGCCAATCTCTATATTCCACTTGTGTCCTAGCTTATCAATATTGAGAATAATATTTTACTAATGGAAAAAAAGTATATTAGGAAAAACTAGAAACCGACAGATTTTATTTTGTGGATGTTCTATTTGAGGGATAGGCACCGCCGCTGTCCTGCAGAGTTTAGCTCCAACCCTGATATAAACTCGCCTGCCTTTAGCATTAGTAATCCTGAAGACATTGATTAGCTTGCTCAGGTGTGTTTGATTAGGGTTGGAGCTAAACTCTGCAGGACAGCGGCACTCCAGGATCGACGTTGCCTATCCCTGTTCTATTTCATTTAAGATTGATGCCTTCAGAAATTGAGGCTGCAGGCTTTAAGTGTTTCTTCATGGAATGCAACATCTAAATGTATACATCCTCTCCAACTGAAAATTGATAAATTATAAAGAGTTTTAAAGTTTTTTTGATGAAATGAGCTGTAATATTGTTTTGCACCAACAGAGGGGAGCACTTATGAGGAGAGCATCTGCAATGAAAGTAGCGTGTATGAGAGTGACTCCACATTCTACAGACAAAGTGAAGGTTTGTGATCAAATATATCCTATTTAGATATGAATGGTTTGTTATATCAATGGTTTTGTTTTATTAGTTTCATTCAGTGAATATTTGAAAAAACTTCACTGCAACTATATGGCAGCATTTTTCTATCTATAAAGGTTTTAATTATTATGTCTCTCTCCAGAGCACAGCATGGCGGAGACTATTAGTGTGGCAATGCGTGTGGCAGAAGAGGCCATAGATGAAGCCATTGCTAAGGCTGAGAGCCAGACTGACAGTCAAGTAAGACTTTCCCTATATAAGATCATTCATTCATTCTTGATAAATTGGCACGTTTGACATGGCTACTGTTTGACATTTTATTTTGTAGGAGAAGCAGAACGAAGCTCATTATCTGCGAGAGAACAGAGCAGAGCTGATAGAGGAATTGGCCAAAACAATAGTACAGAAAGTGAGTAACACATGTCAGCAATGACCTTTCATGAGGGTAGAGTTTTACATTGTCCACAATTCAGTGTGCAGTGATTCATTAACGAAAGTAATACTTCAGCAAGGACGCATCAAATCGATCAAAAGTGACAGTAAAGACATCTATAATGTTAGAATTTCTATTTCAAATAAATGCAATTCTGTCCTGACAACTCTCGGAGTGTTTGTCATGGTAATGGGTATGACAATCTAGATAATATTTGGTCTTGGCGGTCTTGAATAGATCTGCTATGCTGCTGCTGCTGCTGCAGAGCAAGTACGGGACTTGCTATTGCCAATACATACACCACACTCAGCTGTGAGCAAGGCCTATTAGCCTGCGCCATTTAGAGCTTCATGACAGAACTTAACGTTCTTTGTTATTTCTTTTGAACTTTCCATTAATAAAATATTCCTGAAAAAAAAAACGATCATGTTTTCCACAAAAATATTAAGCAACTGTTTTCAATATTGATAATAATTAGAAACGTTTCTTAACCACCAAGTCAGCATTAGAATGATTTCTGAAGGATCACGTGACACTGAAGACTGGAGTAATGATGCTGAAATTTCAGCTTGCCATCAAAGGAATAAATTACATTTTGGAATAATTAAATTAGTTATCAGTTATTTTAAATTATAATATTTCACGATAGCACAGTTTGTACTGTTTTTTAAAAAATCAAATAAAGCCTTGGTGGGCATATTTTGAGGCACAATTATGTATTATTTTTATTTATTTAATCATTTCAATACTTTTAAAATGTATCATTTTAAATGATCTGTTAATTTAAATGTATCAAGATCTGGGTATCTGTAAATATTCACACTCTTGATTTGACATCAAAGAGACTATGTTTCTATGTTCAACTATGTTGTGTTGATATAGTTTTATTGTAAATTATAAGTTATAATTATGACTTACTATATATAACTTTAAAGTATTGTATACATTTTAAATGATCATATTATTATTTATCAGTATTGACAATGTTTGCATAAACGGATTATATTGGAATATTTAAACAACAGATTGTCCACCGGAGGATGGATCCGTCTGAGATTCAGTCTGAATGTAATCTGGACCTGTTGCCTGACCAGAACAATGATGGGACCTCTCCTGATCAAACCCAGAGTGCCTTCGATGCTTATCTCTGGGTACACTGGCCTTTTTTTTTTTTTTTCAAAGACTCAATCACTTGCAATTTTGGTCACTTTTGAGATGCACTATTGAATGCACTGACTCTGTAATGCTTTTGTATTGCTCTTTTGCTTCTCCTTTCCCCCTAGAGGTCTTACTCAGCTTTCTGTCTCTTGACTGATGAGAAAAGAGACCAGCATGCTAACACTGGGTCAAGGCCTTCAGCTTCTAAAAGTCATGCTCTGGAAATGAAGAAAGAAGAAACGATGCCTGTCCAGGCCATGCCTAGCTGGAGGAGTGTTGACCGACTGGACAATTCCAGTTAGATCCTTGACTTAATCCATATTATGATTCTTAATCAGTTAATTAATGATTCTTGCTTACAACAGAGGGATTTTAAAACAATGTATAGCCTACTTGTTTAAACTGTTGATCACCTCCATTTATATACATGTCTAAATGCTGTGTATATGTCTTTAGTGTTACAGAGTCCTGATGGGAACTGGATTGCTTATCAGAGCAACTTGCTCTCTCGACCGAGCCTTTTAACTAAGCGCAAAAGTCTTGTCTACAGCGTCTTAGAAAGGGAGTCTGGCGTGGGGTCAGCTTACGACGAAATGGGCTCCGAAACAGAGCCCGAAGCTAATGGAGGCTATGGCGCTGCACTAGTAGAGTTTCGTCGTAAAATGTCTGCCAATAAGCAGTTGAGTTACACAGAATCCTACAGCCGACAAGCAACCTTGCCTTTGGATGCACAAGCACAAAATATCACTGCACACACCTTGAATGCTGACACCGAGAACTCATCAGGACCGGATGGACCAATGCCCAAGTCCCACAAAAATATGCTGCCCTTCCTGAAGAGAAAAGTGCCACTAGAACAGAGGCGACTCTCATCCGCCCGCCTTTCGAACATCATGGATGTTAATTCCAACCCAGGAGGGGCTGAAAGCAGTGAGGATGGTCTAGAGGACAGCAGGGTCAAGAGATCACGACGAAGGAGGAAAAATAAGAGAGAGGAGGCAGAGTGGAAAGGACAGTCAGTATTGTCTTTGGCTGTACCGGTGAGAATGACTGTTTGTTGTACAACATGTATTGGCTTTGATTTAGAGCAGGGGTTTTAAACCTTTTAATATCAAGGACATATAATATAAAAATAAAAAAGACTTCTATATATTTTCATATATAAAGACCTCTTTATACTGTGTTGTTTCCAAAATTAAATGATTGGTACCGAACTAAAACAAATGTCAAAACATATACAATTTTTATTTTATTTATTTAATTCACAAAGTATCTGTTTTGTACCCACTACTACTATAATATAAGATTTATGAACCTATAAAATAAATAATAAAATAAATGTCTTACTATTAAAAACTGTCAGTAGAATAAAATAATAAAAAATGTGTAATTCATTTAATGATTTCTGGCCAGTCTATAGAATGCAGAATTAATTAATTGTGTGTATTTTATATAGACATTATATATACACATTACTGTTTAAACATTTGAGGTCGGTAAGATTTAAAAAAAAAAAAACGTTTTTGAAAGAAGTCTCTTATGCTTAACAAAAATAAAATTATTGTGAAACATTACAATTTAAAAGAACTGTTTTCTAATTTAATATATTTTTAATTGTGATTTATTCCTTTGATGGCAAAACTGAATCTTCAGTGTCACAGGAATCTTCAGAAATCATTTTAATATGCTAGTTCTCAAGAAAAATGTCTTCTTATTATCACACTTGAAAATGTATACGTTTTTATTCAGGATTCTTTGATGAAATATAATTTTTGTTGCAACAATGTAAAAGTATTGACTGTGACTTTTCAGCAATTGAATTCATCCTTGCTGAATACAATTATAAATATATATTAAAAAGATTAATATTTTACGGTAATATGGTAGCTAATCCCTAAACATTCCTAAAATACATTTTATGAAATCTGTAAAACATTCTGTTTTTTTTTTCTGTTTTTATTTATTTTATTTTATTTATATTTCATGACTATGATTCTTTATTGGCAGGATTCCAATAGCCAACTCTCAGATTCTCTGGTGAAGAGTCGTCATGTGAAACAAGACTTGCATGGAAAAAGACCATGTGATCATGCTCTGGAAGATGACACTTCAGACACTGCTACCCCTGACATCTTGAGCTCTGGAGCTGTGACCCCTGATCCATTTGGACCTGATCTCAGTTCTCCTAGTAATTCGAATTATAGAGCCCTTGGTGTGGTTGGATCTTTAGATCAGCAGTTGACTTCCAAACTGAAAGAGCTGACCAGTCAAGTCAGAGAAACACAACTTTCCTCCACTGAGGATGAATTGGACAGGTTGGAGTATCAAATGTGGGATGAAGATGATGAAACAAAAGCAAAAGTGGGAGATGAAGTCATGGGAGATGCTTTATTGAAGATTGAGGCTGTTGCAAAAGAAAGATCAAATGAAATTGAAGCCACAAATCAAGTAAGGAGAACTGAGATGTTGAAAGAAGATGATCTGACTTCCAAACTCAGAGAGTTGACCAGTCAGGTCAGTGAGACACTACTTTCCTCCACTGATGATGAACTGGACAGGTTTGAGCATCAAACTGTAAATGAAGGCATACATCAATCAATGATAACTGAGATGCTGGTGGTAGATGACAGAACAGATGGAGACAAAATATTACAACGTTACAAAAAAACCCAAAATCATGTAGAGAAGATGGTTGAAAAAGCAGAAGAAGAGAGATCAGAGAAAAAGCAAAAGGACACTGTGGCAGAGCAGGACATTAGTAAGCAAAAGGATACGAAGGAGACGCAAATGTCAGAAGAAATGAGCTCAGGGAGCCAAAAACAGACACCCGCAGAGACAGATGCTCAAAATGAGAACGCTAGTGAGAGAAGTGAAGAGACAAAGAACAAGAGAGAAGTTCAGACTGAAAAGAGAAAAGCAGAAATAAAAGATGGTGGAAATGTGGTTGAAGGTCAGCAGAGCAGAGCTGAGAATACAGAGATGATCGATCATATTGAGAAGCGGGGACAGGCCTTATCCTCTGAACTGGCTTTGAATAGATTTATAAGTGAAGATGGAAACATGGAATTTGATAGGATCATCGATGCTGTAGCGAAGGCTTTGGATGACATGGAAGATAACATAGAAGCTTACACCAGTGAGGGGGTATTTTTAGACAGGGAGGGAAGTGAGGGAGAGAAACTAGAGATGAAGGAAGAGAAGGAGAATATAACTGAACAAGACATGGATGGCAAGACAACATTTGAGGTATGCTTTGTTGGTGGACAATTGAAGAAGGTACAGGGAAAAAAAATGAAGGAAGAGGGCAAAATCAATGAATTTGTGGCACTAAAGAACCGCAGGGAATATTCTGAGAAGACAGAAGACAAACAATGCATCACATCATCAGAAGAGAGAGTTCAAAAGAAAGATGGCAACAGTCAAGGTGACGTGGTTAAAATGAAGGAGCAGAGGAACAAGGACACAATTCAGCACAGCGCCCCATCTGGTCAGGGGGAATATCTGTCACCAGAGGAGATCTACAAGGTAACAACTATACCATAACCGCATTACAGTAAACTATAACTATACTACAGTAAACGCTTCAGGCTGCAGTAACCTGCTTGTATCTAACATGCTTTATTTCATCTGCTAATTAATCTCTGAAGCTCTTCTCATTTCATTCTATGTCTTCTGCCTCTTTTTGATCTTTATTAGGATGCACACGTGCTGGACAAAGAGAAAAACCTAAATTGTATCTCCAGTATACTACAGCAGGTGATGATTGTATGCTAATATGGATAGGATGCTCTCATTTACGCACACTCATAATTTACTAAGCTATTGTATGTGTCCCTTCCTCTCTTAGTTTTCATCTGGTGTCTATCTCTTGGCTCACTGTGTATTACATTTACATTTGACATATTTTAATTTCTGTTAGGGCTGCACAATTAATCAATAAATAATTGCCACTGAAAAAAACGTGGATTCAAGTTGGGTGAAAGGCTTTATATTGTGGTGTTTTTGCAGGGTTGCGCATTGTAACAAATCACAGATATGTTGGTTGACTGAATGAACGCAATCAGAGGTGTTTAAATCTGCTTTGATTTGTTTTCAACTCGAGTTCGTTTTACTTAGAATTTCTCTCATTATAACTCATTATATTTATGTAAATACTGTAAGTATGAAAGCTCATTTCTGCCAGATAAGGAAAAAAAATTATGCTTTGGTAAATCATAATAATGACATACAAAGCATAATGTCCTGGTTGCGTATGCAACCCACCATTCCCTTTCAGTCAAGAACGTCAGACGTGGTCGACGTCGACTGAATGGTGATTCCAATTCAGTCGACGTCGACTACGTCTGACGTTCTTGACTGAAATAGAACATGTTAAAACTATGACATGCTAAGTCATAATTATGAGATAAAAAGTTGAAATCATGACATACTAAGTCAAATTATGCGAGATTGTCATAATTAGGACATAAAAAGTCAAAGTTTGTCATAATTATGTTATATTAGGTCTTTTGATCATAATTATGACTTTTTATCTTAATCTAGAATTTGTCTCTCATAATAATTATGGTTTTATGTCAGTTATTTTTTAGCAAAGCATTATCTTTTTATCCTAAATGTTGGCAATCGATTCACTGTGCAGTGTTCATAGGTTTGTTGGTTATATAATGGGTTTTTTCAATAGTGCAAAACATAGTGAGCTCATGCCAAACTAAAGTGACAGCTTTACTAATCATAAAACGCTCTTAGCTAGCTATTCTGTATATAATTTATTTATTATTTAAATAACAGATGCTTTTAATGCTGCTAGGTAGAACAATATTTAGCCGTTTAGCCGCTGTCTTGATTTACTGCATGTAACAACAATAAAATACAAACAATTCAACGTCTCAGTTTTAGATGTGTAGCCCACATAAAGAATATGGCATGCAGTTGGCCCATACAAAAAAACATATTTTAATGTTAATTTTATTAATCAATATTAGTAACTGTGATTACAATATAAAGTGAAATAATTGACAGTTATGATTTTGGGAAAATTGCGCAGCTCTACATTGTGCTGCTGCAGGTGTGACTTTATGCTCCATTCATTTCCATTCGTATGCATGTTAACGTTAGTGTGTAAAGTTTACAGTACCTTCCTCTATGTATTTATCTTGAACAGAAGTACTCGGCTGTATCACTGCGCAGCATCACCTCCGAGGTGCTGAAAGTACTGAACGCCACTGAGGATCTGATTCACGGATCAATGGGAGACGGACAAAGCCAAACAGACCGCAGTGACGTCTCAAGCATTCCCCCTGCCGAGGCCAGAAGACTGGACGAGCAGCTTAGCAGACTGGAGGAGAACGTATGGATTCTTTCTGAGATGAACATTTGTCACGCCACTGGGAATTATGAGCTGCTTCTCAGTTTGTTCTGATTGATTCCACCGTGTGCAGGTGTATGTGGCGGCAGGTACAGTGTACGGGCTTGAGGCTGAACTGGGGGATCTGGAAGAGTGTGCGCGCAGCATCGGTGGATCCACCACCGAAAGAGAGCTGGCTCATCTGGAGGACCAGGTGGCCTCTGCAGCAGCCCAGGTGCAGCAGTCTGAGCTCCAGGTGTGTTCGGCCTGGACACTGTGCTCTCTCTCTCTTTCTGAAACTCATCAGCAGCATCTCATCGCTGTGAAGACGCAGTTACACTTCACTTAATGAGCCGTATAGTAGTGGTTTAACTACGAAGTTTTCGTGAATTGAAACAAAGCTGAAATAAAATACAAACACACACACACACATGTATATATATATGAGGTAAAAATAACTTAAATGAAAATTAGAACTTTTTCCTTGGTAAGTTGAAGCACTACAAGTACTAACTAAAACTGTAATAAAAATAAATATAAAATAAAATTAAAAAAAAACTAATAAAAAGGACAAAACCACATAGCAACCATAGCAACTAAAATGAAAACTGAAAATATAAAAACGAATTATTATTAAAATATTAATAAACATGAATAAGAATATAAGAATAATGCCAAACCCAGCTTTCCCGAGGTTTTTAACACTATATATACTGTATAGAACTAAGCAAACATACAAACCATGGTGTCCCAAAACTGGCAATAGCATTTTACCTAGCAGTCTTCTGCAAAGCCTTACTGTACACAATACACATTCTGTCATTTTCATATCTGCCTGCCTTAATCTGCTTTTTCCCCCCAGGTTTCAGACATTTCCTCAAGAATTGCGGCTCTGAAAAATGCAGGTCTTAATGTAACTCCACAGACACAATTTACCAAGGTCAAGACTGTAAAAACCAAGGTATAGTCTTCATATTTAAGTAATATATTTATATACTAATTCCTACATTCTCATATGATTCATTATGACTATAACTGTTGTAAGGGTCCAACATCAGTTTCCCATAAGCGGGTGAAGGTTTACTGCGTTACTGTCTTTTCAGCGTGGCAAAGTAATTTAATTACCTTTTTGTTTCATTTGACTCCAAAAATTAAAAAGGTTTAATTGATGTTTGTCAATCATTACATTTATGTGAATGTTTGATTATTCTATTTAACTCTTTATTGAAATTACACCTGTTCATCCGGAATCCTATAACACTTTGAGTCTCACACCGGCTGGGTATAACCTCTCATAACCTCAAGCTCGTCAGGCTCGGTCATTTGACAGAGGCGATTGACTAATATCCTAGACGTCCGTACTCCACTTTGCTCATTCTAGAATATATTATTTATTCCCCATAGATCTGAACACATTTAGACTATATCTAACCAGAGGTCACGACCGTTACCATAAAACCAAGCTGACCGACTTAACTACTTTTAATGGTAACTTTGTATAATCATGCCGTGGTCTCCCACGTACACTTAGTTAGAATAATACTTAAAATAATAATCAGAGGTTGAGGCTCACCCTATTTAGATAGGTCTAACAACACTCTGTTGTTCTAAACGGAAAACCCATTATTAGCCTCTACAGTCTAAGTATAGATGACTAATGCCAATGTGTTAGTCGGATCTCTAAAACTTCAGTCGGTGTGCTCCTCTGCTCCACCTAAGCTGGATTTTAGTCTGTTACTAACCTGAGTGTAGAATTGTAGTGTTATGGATTTAATGTAATCTACTAGAGTTAATAATTTCAGAGTAAATCAGAATAAATGCAAATGTAACCGTTTATTATTAGTCAGGTAAATGTACCATGCCAATTATTACATAATCAATTCATAGCTAATCAATACAATAACATCAAATGCTCAGAGATAAAGAGTAAAAGATGCATACCTGACATTAGAAAAAAATACATAATGCTCCACATTACTTCTGTGGAGATGAGACCATTGTACCAGTCGCACTGAGACATTTTAAATGATACCAAACGTGACTGTTAATTCACTTGTATTGACATAGAACATTATCATTTTCATATAATCTTTCTAAGCGAATTGAGTGAAGAGAAGGATGTGTTAAGGGAAGGAAGTGGGGGGAGAAGGATCAAATGTGAAGGGAGGACAGGAGGGAAAGAAGCTTTCCTGCAACTTCACTCTGTGGGGTGTGGAGACAAATGGCAGTATGTGTTTGTGTTGTCCATATCTAGGAGATCAAAGTATCTGAGGTTCTGTTTGTCTTACACTGTCATAATACTTTTGTTTCAGACACAAACCATCAGCTCATCTCGGAAACTGAGGAGGCGACTGCCAGCACCTCCAATACAAGGTAAGAGCTAATCATAACCAATACTGATCATTGAAATATTTGAAAGATGTTGCCTGTGTAATTAAGGGTCAAATGTGTAATTCTTATTTGAACATTCTGCAGAAATTTCATCTTTAAATGTACTTCATCTATTTCCATTGCATGATATTCTAAGGATTGAAAGCAGACATCTGATGTTGTCAATGATTTGAATCTCCCATTGTATCTGTAAATTTCAGATAAAGAAGCATAAAGAGGATAGAAGGAGACATCAGCAAGCATCATCGCAAAGTTAAATACGGTAACTAAAAACCTGAAAAGCCACTGATCACATGTGCCTTGAAGCTCATGGGTCATAGAAAAGATTTTATGAACTCAAGCTGTGGTGGGATAGATTCAAATGACTGATGTATCGCTCATGCAGTGATGCCATATTACACAAACACATAGCTCTTAGATCAGGTTGCTTTATTACCTCTCGCTCATCCATACTAGTGTCTGAATTATTTCGAAATAGTTACTGAAATGTAATAACTAAGTAAATGTAAGATGTAAAATTATGATGTGGAGCTTTGTTTGGGCATTTTGACCATTACTGTGAATCAAACTCATCATTCAATTAAACTTTTAATAATAATAATTAAAAAAATCCTGTTATAGAAAGTATGCTGAAATCTAAGAATGTTTGTAACCAAATTGTTACCATTGACTTCCATTTTATGGACAATTTCTTAAAATATCTTCTTTTATGTTCCACAGATGAAAGAAATAACTATCCCTTTCATTTCTTACTGTCAATATGTAGATATATACAATAGCTGCGTCTGAAATTGCATACTCTCTTGAGTAGGTACTTATTTTGAATAAGTAATTATGTAATGACCTCTAACAAAGTACATTCTATGTAGTATGAATGTTTGCGGTGTGAATGTAATCTGGATGTACTACATTCACCATGTTGTCATTATCATGTGACCTACCCCTCATGGGATAGTAAAGTGTCCACCGTATGTCATCTGGGTACTCTTTGCCTGAGTACTGTTTTTCACCTACTATATAGTAGGGGAGTATGCGATTTTGGATGCAGCCAATGTTTTGCACATCTGACCAAATATTTCCTGCATTTATTTTTTAACATGATTTCTCTGTGAGATTTATAGATTATTCTAGCCATGTGTCAGCTATATGAATCACAGTCATGTAGAACACGAAAACTTTATATTTGCTCACACTGTAAATTTATGGTGTTAGATTTGATAATAGATTTATTGTAAATGTGTAAATTAATAAATGGAATTTTTTAGTTTGATTATATTTCAATTGTAGTAAATATTATTTGTTAACAGATTTTTGTCGGTGACATTCCGATTACATAACCTGAACAATTTTATGGTGTTCATATCCTGAAATCATTGTTGTTGAGATCTATATTTCAGTTGTTCAGAGTAAAATATACCAATCAAAATACATATTTCAAAGCACACAGATATGATGAGGAGGACTGAGGGATGTTAATGATCCAATACCTTGGATGCGCATGTTTATTAAGAGTGCTATGTGTGTTTGATCATTATTGTATCTCAGTGTTTCTCTGATACACTGCAAAAATATTTGAATCAAGAAAATTTCAAAGATCTAACAAAGTAAGGATTCTTCTTTACAACTAGATTATCGAGTGTTATCCACGTGAATTTGGATTTAATGGATCAGTTGGTTTGAAGAGGGGCGCCAGCAAGGGCAAATCCCAGGAGCATGATCAGGCCCTGGTAAAGAAGTGGCCCTTTAGAGAGAAATGAAAAGCTCATATGTGAAGTGTTTTTCCTGAGCACTGCAATTCCACTGGGTTGGAAAAACGTTTATGTGTCCACATTGGTTATATTGCACTTTGGTGTGATGGTACAATAGATCTCTCACATTTGTAGCACTCCCTGCTATGAGGTCAAACAAATACCACATTTATCACAGCAGCCAGTGCAACTTCCTCTCAAAAATAGAGGAACTAATTCATAAACCACTGAATTCACATTAGCGGCGTTCCACGATGAGAAAACGTTCTCTTTGGTCAGCTACAATAAATCCTTCCCTCTGGTCCGTCAGAAACAAGCTCTCTCTCCTGTCTGACACAAGAAAACTGTCTCTAGGGTTCATCATGATGATTCCTTCTTTGTCTTGTCCCATTGCCTCTACCTCGGCATATGACGGATGTCCTGAACCACGTCGAAATATCATGGCAGGCCAGTGTGTTGGTCGTCTCTGGACATCAAGAAAAAAATTACAACATTTTCAAAGCACCTACAAATAACTAAATTTGAAGGCTTGGTTTATATACATACGCTACCATTCAAAGGCTTGGGGTTGGTAAGATTTATTAAAAAAAAATTGAAAGAAATCTCTAGGGCTACATTTATTCTAAAAAATATGTTAAAAACTAATATTTTCAGGATTTTTTCAAATTGTTGTTTGAACATTATAAATTTCCATTAGCTGAATATGCTTTAGTACTTAAAGCTCACCTCTATGAAGAAGAGACTGGCGCTGGAGGTGGGATGGTAGTACATGTATATAGTGGCCAACACAGCGACCACCATGAGGACCATGGTTACGAGGATGCCAATGAGCAGACCAGTCTGCATCTTCTCCTCTCTCTGCTTCTCTGTAATTTCCATCTGAGAGTCTGAGAGAGAAGAGGATATTTACACCTGCTTGTAAAGAACAACAATCAAGCCTACATTTTTACATTTTCCAGAAGAAATGTGAGTGGCAAATGCCACAATGTCAGGGTGTTCAGGGCTTTGCTGTGGTATATGAGTGGTTGCATTAAGGCTTAAGACCGTTCACCCAAAACCTGTATGACTAACTTACTTCTGTGGAACATAAAATAAGATATTTTTAGAATTGTGTGTGTGTTTTTTATCAATAACCTAGAAGTCATTGATTGCGGCACCAAATCATTTTGGTTACCAACATTCTTCAAAATATCTTCATGTTCCACAAAAGAAAGAAAGTGTCATGATTCTGCCATCTAGTCGTTGCAGGATCATGACGGACCCATGTTTGTGTGCAAGTACATGGCCTTGTGTTTGGGCTGTGTGCTTGTGTTGTCTTTCCTTGCCCCGCCCCCTTGTTATCCTCGTTTTGTCCTTATTACCTAATCAGTATCACCTGTTGTCATCATTAGTTTCTCCCTATTTTATCCCCTTGTGTTTGCTGTCCTGTGCCAGGTCATTGTCATACATTGTGAGATACTACCTGTGAGTACCCTGTCTTAGTAAATAGTCTTGTATAGGTTTCGCTCTTCTATTTGCTGTCTAGTTTTTGTCAAGTTTAGGCATCCCTCGTTCGTCTTGCCTTTGTTTTGCCCCCTCGTGGGTTTTGTTTTCCCCAGTTTTCTGTTATCAATAAATGTTGTGTAATTGCATACCGTCTGCGCTTGGATTCATCTGCTATCTTCATAACAGAAAGTACAGATTTCGAACAATTTTAGGGTGAGTAAATGATTAATTTTGGTAAACCGTAACATGGTGAAAAAAAGCTTCTAAAGGCCATGGAAGCAATTTAATATGTTCTGTGTTTGCATTTAATTATATTAATAGAATCTTAGAAATATGATGGTAATTAGATTAATGTAGTGTCGATACATATCCTTATGAATATATGTGTGTGTATGTCCTTGTATATGACCTGACAAAAGTTAATGTGCGACTAAGTGTATGACCGAGACAGAGGGTCTCCATTCAAGGATACATACCATCAGTGAGGAACGGTGGTACATACCATCAGTGAGGAAGCTGGTAGGAAGGTTTCTTATAAATAAGGGTGTGCTGGTGATTTTGGTGGTGAGCGAGGAGGCTGATGTGGTCGATGTTGTTGTAGTTATAGATACAGCTGTTACTCCTGTCTGCACAGCTGGAGTGCTGCTTTTAATGAAGGGCCGTTTTCTGTCACAGCTCTGGTTTTTTATCTTAAAATACATCCACAACAAGTCAGTAAAGATGAGAGATGGTGGACTGTAAAAGAGGAACGAAAGAGGATCTATTCACCTCACTTAAGCACCCACTGTCAACCCAGTCTTGACGATACTGGTCAAACCCACTGGAACATCTGCAGAACAAGCATTATTTGCAGCTGTTGAGTAAATGTAGAGTTGAAGCACACTGCACTTTATCTATCTGGCTATTCACATCAAAAATACAAGTGAACCAAGTCTATACCTCTGTAGGCGACTACACCAGCTACAGTTGAAGCCGATCTGAGCCGTAACACACATCTCACAGCTGGAGAACTGAAGGCAGGCTGACAGCAGGAGGAGCAACATTTTAACAAAGACGTGGTGGGTACTACTTTCTGTTTTCTAACAATATGTGATTAACTGTACTGAACGTCAAACATAGAATCGGTCTTAGTTCTAGGGACAAATCTTAACTAACATTTCTAAGCACTGCTATTTTCTGTGGATGTGATGTATTTGGTCTAAGCTGAATCTAGTTGTGTCAGCAGTTCAGACTCACTCGGTAGAGGAAGCATCTCAATAGCAGTGACGGTCATGATCTTGGATTTTAAGAGCTCTACCCGATGATATTCATATATTGTTCTCCTTCTAACATCTGTCATGAAAAAAAAAGACAATGGAAGGCCAGTATGGTTATTGTTAACTAAAACTATTAAAAAACGTTCCTGTAGCTCAAACAGTAGAGCGTTGGCGCTTGCAACGCCAAGGTCATGGGTTTGATTCCCAGGGAAAGCAAGAACTGATAAGAATGTAAAATGTGTACCCTGAAATGCAATGTAAGTTGGTTTGGATAAAAGCGTCTGCCAAATGCATAAATTTAAATCATGTTCATTATTTTAAAACAAAGCTGAAATAAAATATAAAAATTTCATGAATAACTTGGTAACACTACAGTAAGGTCCCATTAGTTAGTACATTAACTGACAGTGAGCAATGCATTCATTACCGTATTTATTACGGTAATTAATCTTTATGTTAGTTCATTTCTGTCCTGATAACTCTTGGAGTGTTTGTCATGGTAATGGGTATTACAATTTAGATATATTTGGTCTTGGCGGTCTTGAATAGATCTGCTATGTTGCTGCTGCTGCAGAGCAAGTATGGGACTTGCTTTTGCCAATACATACACAACACTCAGCTGTGAGCAAGTATGCTGCTGCTGTACAATATAGCGTGCATGAATTACCCAGAGTAGATCAATACAGGTGGAGCTGGGGAAGGTGGAGGGTTTCTGTAAGCGCGCTACACTGCTAAGGCAAATGCTAACCAAGTATTTTAAGGTTGAGCACGTGGGCTCATTGGCTACTGATACAGCAGGAACCAATCAGCTGTGCCCTATAGAGAATAATGTGATTGCAAGCGGATTGAGTTATAGACGTACAGTACTAGCCTGCGCCATCTAGAGTTTCATGACAGAACTTTGTATTAAAAGAATACAACTCTTCATTGTTAGTTCATGTTATAGCTCAGGTCTATTAAGATGAAGCACTACAATTGCTAAAAAATAAAATGAAATTCAAATAAAATAAAATAAATCAAAGCTAAAACGAAATATTGAAAACAAATAAAAATACATATAAATAAAATTCAAATAAAAACTGAAACATAAAAAATAAAAGCTAATTCAAAATATTATTAAATACTGTGATTTGTATATAAATAATACTAAAATAAAATTAGTGAATTTAGAATCAACAGGCAAATTTAAAAAAAAATCTGCAAAGAGAAGGATTATTTTTCCATTCAAGAAGAGTTACTTACTGGGAAGCTGTTCGATCTTATGAAGAACCACAAATGCATCAGAAAGCCCGACTTTCACTGGATGATTCACTGAGCTGATCTTACTAATGTCAATGGGAACCTAAAAGCAGGTGAAAGCCGACAATCAGACATTCATCAACACCGTTCCAGTGATGGCAGCTGCATGTAAAAAACCAAGAAGTATCTAAAAAAATCAACCTCTTTATATGCAAAGGTGATTCTTCCATCGTTGTATAAAGCTGCCTGAAAGGTGAAACCGCCGAGATGTGATGCGTCCTGGAGATACACATTGTCCCACTGCACAACAAGAGCTGTGGCTAACAGATAGGGAGTAGATTAATAATACAGCCATTTAAATATATCTCATTCAACAATGCAAATCAATGCAATGCACACTTATAAAAAAAATTGTCTGTTCCATTTTACCATTATCACAGTACATGACTGTTGAATTCTGTGAGATGCTGAGATCAAAATTAGCCATGAGAGGAGCGATGTACTGAGTAGCAGTCAGCATTTTGTGGATAACATCTCCAGTGTAGATGAAACCTGAACAAAAAAATTATAAATATATACTACCAATCAAAGGTTTGGGGGTCAATAAGATGTATATATATACAGGTCCTTCTAAAAAAATTTGCATATTGTGATAAAGTTCATTATTTTCCATAATGTAATGATAAAATTTAAACTTTCATATATTTTAGATTCATTGCACACCAACTGAAATATTTCAGGTCTCTTATTGTTTTAATACTGATGATTTTGGCATACAGCTCATGAAAACCCAAAATTCCTGTCTAAAAAAAATTACATATTTCATCCGACCAATAAAAGAAGTGTTTTTTTAATACAAAAAAAAGTCAACCTTCAAATAATTATGTTCAGTTATGCACTCAATAGTCAATACTTGGTCGGGAATCCTTTTGCAGAAGTGACTGCTTCAATGCGGCGTGGCATGGAGGCAATCAGCCTGTGGCACTGCTGAGGTGTTATGGAGGCCCAGGCTGCTTCGATAGCGGCCTTAAGCTCATCCAGAGTGTTGGGTCTTGCGTCTCTCAACTTTCTCTTCACAATATCCCACAGATTCTCTATGGGGTTCAGGTCAGGAGAGTTGGCAGGCCAATTGAGCACAGTAATACCATGGTCAGTAAACCATTTACCAGTGGTTTTGGCACTGTGAGCAGGTGCCAGGTCGTGCTGAAAAATGAAATCTTCATCTCCATAAAGCTTTTCAACAGATGGAAGCATGAAGTGCTCCAAAATCTCCTGATAGCTAGCTGCATTGACCCTGCCCTTGCTAAAACACAGTGCACCAACACCAGCAGCTGACATGGCACCCCAGACCATCACTGACTGTGGGTACTTGACACTGGACTTCAGGCATTTTGGCATTTCCTTCTCCCCAGTCTTCCTCCAGACTCTGGCACCTTGATTTCCGAATGACATGCAAAACTGAGCAACAGTCCAGTGCTGCTTCTCTGTAGCCCAGGTCAGGCGCTTCTGCCGCTGTTTCTGGTTCAAAAGTGGCTTGACCTGGGGAATGCGGCACCTGTAGCCCATTTCCTGCACACGCCTGTGCACGGTGGCTCTGGATGTTTCTACTCCAGACTCAGTCCACTGCTTCCGCAGGTCCCCCAAGGTCTGGAATCGGTCCTTCTCCACAATCTTCCTCAGGGTCTGGTCACCTCTTCTCGTTGTGCAGCGTTTTTTGACACACTTTTTCCTTCCCACAGACTTCCCACTGAGGTGCCTTGATACAGCACTCTGGGAACAGCCTATTTGTTCAGAAATTTCTTTCTGTCTTACCCTCTTGCTTGAGGGTGTCAATGATGGTCTTCTGGACAGCAGTCAGGTCGGCAGTCTTACCCATGATTGCGGTTTTGAGTAATGAAACAGGTTGGGAGTTTTTAAAAGCCTCAGGAATCTTTTGCAGGTGTTTAGAGTTAATTAGTTGATTCAGATGATTAGGTTAATAGCTCGTTTAGAGACCCTTTTCATGATATGCTATTTTTTTGAGACAGGAATTTGGGGTTTTCATGAGCTGTATGCCAAAATCATCAGTATTAAAACAATAAAAGACCTGAAATATTTCAGTTGGTGTGCAATGAATCTAAAATATATGAAAGTTTAATTTTTATCATTACATTATGGAAAATAATGAACTTTATCACAATATGCTAATTTTTTGAGAAGGACCTGTGTGTGTGTATATATATATATATATATATATATATATATATATATATATATATATATATATATATATATATATATATATTATATATATAATTTTTTTTTTTTTTTTTTTTTTTTTTTTTTTTTTACCAGAAAGAAATAGCCTACTTTCATTCAGCAAGGATGATTAATCAAAAGTGACAGTAAAGACATTTATAATGTTACAAAATATTTATATTTCAAATAAAATTTCCATTCAACCACGAATGATGTATCAAGGTTTCCTCCAAAATATTTAGCAGCACAACTGTTTTCAACATTAAAAATAATAAGAAATGTTTCTTGAGCACAAAATCAGCATATTAGAATGATTTCTGAAGGATCATGTAACACTAAAGACACTTTAAAACATATAAAAAAAACATAATAGTGCACAATATTGTTTTACTGTATTTTTAATTAAATAAATGTAGCCTTTGTGAGCATGAAAAAAACTTATTTGAAAAATGATCTGTGTAAAAAAAAAAGATGTATATAAAATATATTTTAAGTTTATTTAAAATATATTTGTGAATAATATTAAAATAGAATATAAATCACTAATTTGTTCTGCACTTACCCCCTGTCGCTACATGTATTTGCCTTAATGAATGTCCATAGAAAGGGAAATTGAAGGACAAATTCACTCTCTATAAAAAAACAAAACAAAAAAACAACTCAACTAAATTTCGTTATGTGCACAAAAATGTGTAACAGTTACAAAAATTACCTTTAAGAAAACTTTGTAGCTGACGTACCAAAGTTTGTCGATGTGTGTTGGAGAGAATTTCATGGACTCTTCCCATGTTCATTTGCTCAATATTTACCCACAAATCCTTGCCTGCACTGTCTGTGGGCCCATAGAATTTGGATGTGTAGTAGACATGATCCATATCTCTCTGATGAGCAAATACACACGTTATCTCAGATGAATACATGACAAGATATATATATATATGAGAGACATTCCTGGATGTTCACCTTAATGGATAAGTTGCCATGACTGTCATTTGTCACAACTTCAGGAAAGCGCTCTGAATCTAATCGGCCGTGTTCTTCATAGCGCTCCGGACTGATCTCACCCACAGGTTTGGATGAGAGCATCCATCTCTTCCATCTTCTATTGTAAAGCTTGAGGTTTACACCAGCACTCTCTTGCTTGGAGAGCCTCTCAAAGGTGAAGTTAGAGACACCTGATGAATTAAGATTATTCACATTTTACAAGCTGCATTGTCTGTGTTGTTACACAAAGAGATTCATTAATAAACTAAATGCATGCGAATTGTTCTCTGAATCCAAATGAACATAAATGTTTATGTTTCACATAAAACAGAAGATAACATACTTTCAGGTGTTTTGATAACCGAAGAATGTAACATTGACAAGGATTTTAAGCAGACTGCAAATGACCTGCAATGCAAATAAACACAGTTCCTCACATCCTGCAGTGACAGGAGTGTGTCCAAAGTACTTCTTTCACAGAAGAGGGTGAAACATGCTCCGAATTCCTCATAGTGCTGGCCGGGTGGAGTGTGAGGGCAGGGCAGTGTTTTGACTGGGGTAACACACAGTTCGTTCCAGTGTCCTTCTCATTTGAATTCTGCCAACATTATTACTATACCTCAAGCACAAAGGTGTGTTCCTTTTTTTTTTTCTGTTTGGCATTGTGACATGTCCTCTGGTCTATCACATGCTGACAGATCACAGGGTACAGTGAGCAGGCATGTGCCAAAAATGGTCTGCATGACCAGTAGCTAATTGATGAGTAAAGATATGATGATAAAAAGATCAATTATTATACAGTTACACTGGTTAATGACTAAGCCGGGCAATATGAGTCTTTTACCACTGGCTTCACAGACGACGCTTAAGAGTAGTCCCAGACTAAAATGCATGTTTGAGCTGTTTTAACTGAAAGCAACTTGCACTGACATATCTTAAAATATTAAAATAGAGGCATTGTTTTGCCTCTAGATGCACACCAGTAATGTTTTTTTTATAACGCACATTTATAAATGTTACTTAAATGTCCTAATTGAACTAAGGCCTAATCCTGGCTTAATCTAAAGCCTGTCTGTGAAACCAGGCTTTTTTACTTCTACTTCTTAGATGATTTATGCCAATTCATTTTTATTTATTTTTTTTTGGTCAGGATCTCACAAATATATTGAAAATCCAATTCATACAGTCAATGACTTGAATATGCTTGTTCTGTGATAAAAACAAAAATAGACTTACAAAAATGGTTTTATACAATTTTTTTGAAAAATATTTGTTTTTATTTGATTAACAGTTTTCATACAATACAATATAGCTACTATAAAAACAAAACTGTTTTTATAGTGCTAAACAAAGTATAGGTGGTCTGTATGGAGAAGATACTTTACTTTTTATCTTCTAGGGTAAATCATTGTAGTTTTATTAATAGAGTTGATACTGTAACATTTCGATTAAATGTATTTTTAAAGCACATTTAAAGACACGTTGATCCAAAGTGCTGTACAAATTGAGCCGCAACATAAAATAAAACAAAGCCCAACCCATTAATGAAATCGGAGGGCTAATCATTAAAAGCCACAGATTTAACACATGAAAATTAATCTTACAAAAAGCAGCAGTATAATTACTTTTCGTCCCTATAGCCTACGCGAATTGAGGATATTATTTTTAAATTCAGATTTAAGTTGGCTATATTAAATAACTTTTATTTATTTTTATTTTTTAGGCTATTTTAGACGATTGAACGAAAACATGCAAAATAAATGAATGACTTACCATTGGATGGCAATTCCTGAATGGTAAATTTAACCTGAATAAAGGCAAATATTCCTAAGAAAATATGTGGTCTTGCCGGTAGTGCCATAACCAATTGCATTTAAATTGTCTTTGCACATTAATATCGAGGGAGAAGTACGGTGTTGAACTGCACGCGAGCGACGCGCATAATCCGGTGGCACGTTCAGCTCCGAACACACCCACGCGAGACTGTCCAGTGACGTGCGTATGAGAAGTTCATTAAATGGGCCATTCTACAGAATAGGTTCAAACAGCTGGGAAACATCTTTCAAAATTGTCTTCTTCCACAATTTCTTAATGCATGGAAATAATTTGCAGCAAATTTTATAATATCCAAGTACACATTTCTAATTGTGCAGTTAATTCTTATAATTGTATTTTCAGAAAGTTTTGGAATATTTTGTTTCTCTCCCCAAATTTGTCATTACCGAAAAACTATAATAGCCTATATAATTTAACAACATGGGTTAAATTGACCTATTCATATTTTTGATAGATTTGGTAGCCTATCTACCTTGTGCATTTTGTTGTTGCTATTTTATTAAAAAGTTTTCACAGGTAAATCAATAACACAATTTTAACAATATTACAAGTGTAATTTATGAGATTTGTCGTATTTTCAATCCAATCTTTCTTTGTAAAAGGCATAAAGTTATTAATCATGATTATTTGAATATAGGCTAGAAACAAACACCATCATAACATCTTAGTTGATAATTCAATATACTTTATTTTTGACAAAACATCCCATGTTTCAGACAGTCGTGAATGCACATTTTCGGTAGAGAGTTCTGACAGTTATGTTAAAAGAGACAACTTAAGCGCGCCACTGTGTGCATCTGTGACATCGGTCAGGGGGTGTTGTGCATGTCAAATAAAATCAGTCATAATCAATAAATGTTATTTCTTATGTTTTTTTTTCTTCGTATCATTACTTATTTATGTATCCTTATTAATTCGTTTCAAATACAGTTTCTGAATGTTAGTTACATAAAAACACTTGTTATTCATGATTAAGTGTCGTATTTAATGGAAACGTATATTTTTACTGTTAGTTAATTAAGTGAGGCAAAATAAGTTAGAATGAAGGATAAACTGAAATCCACAGCATTTAAACAACTTCTGCTCACGTATTTGAAGGCTGAGCTATTGGATCATCGAGGCTAAGCGTTATATTATGCGACTACGCATTACTTTACGGAGAGCTTGCGACCTACTACGTTCTGCCTTTTTGCGAACAAAACGGAATAAAGTACAGAGTTAGTTACAAACTAGCTAGTCACTAAGCCTCTAGTGTGGACTTTACGTTCCAATTTAAGAAAGAACTTAAACACCTGGTGCAACCCTACCCAAATGTTTTGACAATTACAATACATTTATTGCTGGTCCCCCTTTGGTTGTGGGAAAGCAGTTTGCACTAATTCTGTATAATGGCCCATATAGTCCAAGCTGGTCAATAACCGCAGAGATATTGTTAGAAAAACTAAAACCTTGACTTCCTAATTATGTGTACTTGTTTTATATAAGTATACTATTTTGGTCTGGTTGAATCTGTAATGTATGTTTCTGACACAGTTGAAACCTATAATAAATTTTAATCTGTTTAAATAATCTGCTATTTAAATAAATCTGTAATATTAGCCACCACTGTCAATGAAACACTATTATGAAATCTTTATTATAGTATACTCCTAAATGTAGTTGAACTTGAGGGAACACGTTAAACACTGCCACACCAGTTTTTTTTTGTGTGTGTGTGAGTTGCACAAAGTGAATGTGGTACCATGAAGCACAGAACAGTTTTGTAAATATAGTATTCAACCACATTGAACTTATCAGTCAACAATGTCTCCTGAATGTGAACAGCAGACTTTGTGTGAGCATAAACCGAGCCATAATAAGCAGTGGATTAGCAACGTTTTTAAACATCACTGGCATAAAAATCAGCTTCCACCTTTTACTTTCATTTATCTGGGCACTTAAAACTGATGTGTTTCATCCTTCCTTGTGGGCCTACTTGTGTATGGATGAATGTGGTTATGTGACTGTGTGTGTGCTTGTTTGAAAGGCAGAGGGAGCATTGGCCTACTGTGAGGAAACTGGTTCCTATGAGAAATGAGTGGATTAGGTGAGTGTGACATGTCTCATAGGGCTGAGAGGATTCTCTGGCCCATAGGTTTGGAAAAGTCAAACAGCCCTCTCCTGAATGATGTTAGGTCAACTCAAGATTCAGGGGTTTAAAAAAAAGTGAAACATCAGGCATAGCCTTTTCCATCCAAACCCATTTCTTTTTGTTTTAGGTGAAGTCTAAATTGTGTGGTTTCATGGGTCAAAACCCATTTCCAGTACATCAGAAAGTTCTTGTAATTTGCCTAAACTAAATGAAGAAAGCAGTCATACGACGTGGTGTCATATAATACAAAGCTGCAGTAGGAAAAGGCCTTAATATCACAATAGGGTGAACTGATAATATTTTCTTATAAAGTGAATTAAAAAAGAGCAAAGGTTGGGTTCCTGACACTCTATATAATGTTAGTTGCACATAAGTAGTACGTCTCTTCAACATATTTCAGTGCAATATTGCTATCTAAGTAGTATGTGAATATGCAAATTTAAAAAAAAGAATAAAAATAGTGTTAAATAAATGAAAACACCTTTGAAATGGCACTGTGGCATGCAAGTGTCACATGCTAAGCCTGTATTTACATGACAGACAATATAAATTCTATAATCTAGAAGTATATAAATGTTATTATATAGTAGGCTACTTGAGATCGTAAGAAACACATAGCCAATGCGCCATTTTACTGTATTTCCAGTACATGGTGTCAACTCTTTCCAGTACAAGGTGCTGTGTTTGGCAATGATTTAGTCAGCCAGGCATTTAAAGGCCATTTGGCTACTGGTATTCCAAATGGTTGTGTGAATAACTGCATTTAGTGTGGAGGATTTCCAGATTATTTTTCAATATAATAGGAATATGGGTGGCATAAAGATGACATGCGATATATTTGTGTCTATGTGAGTTTGGGATTGTTCATTTTATGTGAAATATTCGTCATTTCCATTTGTTGAAAGTGAAATATTGTCACTGGAGCTGCCGTTCTCTGCTGTGGTTGTTAAACCCTGTCAAAAACAGGAATAGAAAACCTTAAAGATAAATTCTTACAACATTTATATGCATGTCATTTAGAAAAAAACTCACATTCATGTTGCAGTCAAAGGGGCTATAAGAAGAGTTTGTAAGCACGTCAAGTATAGATTCCCTGTAAAGATACAAAACATGTTTGTCCTCTTTTCTTTTTTTGTCATTAAATTCTAATGAATCGAGCAATACATACCTTTTTCTTTTGTTATTCAGCACAAAAAGGACAACACCAGCAGTAAATATCACCACAAGTGTCACTCCCACTCCAACACCAATACCTACAGCTGAACAAACCAACAAATGTTTTTGTATAAGGAAATACAATGCTGCAGAATTTGACAAGCAGTTTGCTTTACAATGCAAACTAATTCATTCTTAAATATGTATAAGGAGGCTTCAAATAGAACACAAAAATGTACTTTGGTCAATTTGGTCTAAATGTTGGTCAGTATTTGATTTATCATTTGAGCATTGAATTATAAATTATAAGATATAAGACAAGTTTATACTGGATTGATAATGAATATTAAATATCAAATACAAATAATTGTTATTTTTGGACCAGTTCATGCTTCCCTGAATGAGGAAATTAAAATGCATTGAGTTCTCATTTGAGCAGCCATTTTGAGAGTTTGATTTATTATTTGATAATTTGAACATTAGATTTATCATTCAAGCAGCTGTTTTGAGAGGTTTTTAAAAATTTTTTTCAAAATGTCTTGTTTGAAATACAAATATCACAACTTTTTGATCCAAAATGCCATGTTTCGATATATGAGGAACAGAAATCATGATGGGTCTCTACATTTTTGTGATAAATTAAGCGTAGCGTCAGTTCTGGCAGGTCACGTTAGTCAAGCTCGCATGACTCTCAGCTGATACACGTCTACCTATAGGAATACGATGCCTATCACTGTTTACATAAGCTCCTTCAGTATTATCAGCAGCTATCGCGATAATTACCCTCCTCCCTCCCCAGCTCCTTCTCTTGTCCAGTCAGGATTTGGCATTCTGATTCCCCTTGAATCAGAATAAATTCTCGAATTATGTTGTATTTTAAAATCTTGAATTAATGATATCTGCAATACATTCATGTTGGTTCTGTTCGGTTTACCCTAAGGGGGGTTATTGCTGCTCTCCCTGCTCTTATCCATGCTAGGCTGCATGGATGCGCAGGGAGTTCTCGCCCAGAACGGAACCATACCGCCCATCCAAACTGTATGCTAATTGTCAATCGTATTTGACGATAGTGGTCCTGACAGAAATGAGAATCATTCTCAATGCACCCTCTATATGCAGGTGTAGCAAAGAGTTTGGATCCTGTGTGAGAGATGTATATAAGACTGGCAGGCATTAATATATCTCTTACTGTCACTAGAGTGTTGAAGTGGTAAGGTGTGATCTGAGTCACATGGCCCGGGAACAATGTGAGCATCATCAATAGCTATACTTCCTTTCGGACCTTCTCCCTTCAGGAATTCAAATATAAACTGTGGAGAGAGGAGTGAACAATGATGTACAAATGTTTTGTGGTTTTGCTTTGAGTAAATCTTAAAATGATTCCCATTGATCCTGTGAATTCAGCATGATAGAGTTTGATACCCAGAAAGGCTCTCGGTATGACACATAGATGTTGCCTGTCCTCCACACGTCGCCCTGATCTCCTGACTCCACCCATACTATCTGGCCAAGCTTATTCCCGCTGTTATGCATGGTCCTAGGAAAGAAAGAGTCTCAATGAATTGTGATGCAAGTACATACACATAAAAGGTGTTTTTTTTTTTTTTTTTGGTCATGGTTCTGTACCTGTTATTGACGTATAATTTGAGCGTCCCAACTTTGTGTCCATACATGTGATACCAGAATGTGAAGCAGTGCCCCCTGCTGTCAGGTGTGAATATCTCACTCAGGATCATGGCAGTCTCTCCCCAGAACCCCACAGAACTGTCCATATAAAGATAATAACCTACAGACACAAGAGTATCAAAGAACCTGTTTACACCTTAAATAAAAATATGAGCACTTGTGGTAATTTTTTTTAATAAAGGGTCCGATTTCATCACTATACATTACTCACTTCTTTAGTGTGTTACTGTGTGTTGATAAAAGCCTGTTTTTTTTTTTTTATCAGATTTTGATTAATCCCTGGGAATTAAATCTGCTGAATCAATTACTAAAAAGACTCATTTGTTCATTAAAGGTGCAGTAAGCGATTTCTGAGAAACGCTGTTGAAATTTGAAATCACCAAAACAAACACGCCCCAACCAAAAATGATCACACCTCTATCTCAATAGCTCCGCCCCCAAATTCACAAACAAGTTATGCAACACAGGCACCTCCGCCTCATGAGTGGACCCGCCCCTTACTGCTGATTGGCTTCAAGTGTGTTTTTGTGCTCGTTCTGATCCACTTCCAACAGCGTTTCTCAGGAATCGCTTACTGCACCTTTAATTCATTCAGTGACCTTTTCTCTTGGTTACATTGTTACCAGTATGTAGGTCGCAACAAATGAATCACTCATTAAATTATTCACTCAATCGATTCATTAAAGGGGTCATATAATGGTACATGCACTTTTACAAGTTGATTGTACTGAAATGTGTGTTGGCAGTGCCTGTACACAACCATCATATAATGATAAAAATCCATCCAGTGTTTTTGTTTTAATCTCCTTATATGTTTTCCCCTGTCTCAAATCAAGCAGTTCGACCGTGTGACGTCACACGGTCGGACGCCCCTCCCGCGATTGTTGATTGACAGCCGGGTTTCAACACAGACCCGCCCTCGCTCGTGAGCCAGCTATCATAGTCAATCATAGTCTGCGCAGACCAGCGCGGTCATTGTTGATATGCTGGAGCACTGTCTATGAGCAGAATGGCGTCTAAGCGATTGTGGTGTTCTGTTCTTGGGTGTAATAACGAACACAGTCATTTTAATGTTCCTAAATCCGAACCGCTGAAGACGCAGTGGCTGAGTTTGTTTTCGAAGGGAATATTCCCCACGAGCAACGTCAACGCTTTCATGTTTGCGCGAATCATTTCACACACCAGACTGCTTATAAACGAGGAGGGTCAGTATAAAGCTGGTTTTGCTTAGAAGCTGCTCCTGGACCGGTACCAACTATTCGTGTTCCTGCTGAACCTCCAAAATAACTGAAGTGAGTGTAACGTTTTATTAATCTTTAATATTTATATTAATCTTTGCAAATCGCTAGATGCACGCTTCACAATGAATGCGTCTAAGGTTTACACTCAGGGTACATTACGGCATGTTTTCTATGTATGACGTTCTCAATATAATTCATAATCCCACGTTTATAATGAACAACGCGTTATGGTTATTGTGTTACAAACGGTGTACACAGAACAGAGAGGCGGAGTGAGCAAAGCTCATGATCATTTAAAGGCACTGAAACGGCGTGCTGAAAACAGAGCTATTTTTGACCAGGTAAAATAAGTGTTTTCTTACAATACTAATGAGAATTTTTAATTAAAGTATATTACAAAGTTTTAATTTAGACTCTAAAGAATCATATTAGCTTGTACAAAAATAGCATTATATGACCCCTTTAAAAACACCTAATTATTTACATCCGAAACGAGTCTTAATATCCTCAATGAAAGTTTGTGTGCTTCAAATCTACAAAGAGACTCCAGAAAGGATTATGTGTTTTCCAAATTGTTCATGAATTAATAATTTTTTCGAGCCCAATTCTCTTGATTGACAGGTGAGTAGGCTTCCCTTAACTGTTGTCTGGATTTGCAATTTACACCACAAAAGCAATGAGGTCAAGTGTATTTGATGACCTCTAAATATAGTTGGAACGACTGAATCACAAAACATTTTGGAACCCATTGTAAGCAATATTAAAAGCTACACTAGCAGCTGAAAAATAAAACCGCATGTGTTTTGCATAAGAACATTATTTTGGTTGTGTTTCATTGTGACAACAATGATAGATGATGTGTATAGATATACGAATTACGTATGCAATCCAATCCCACAAAAATGTATCCCGAGTCCCGACAGCTCTAAAAAGTAAACCAAGTTTTTCAAAGAATGGTTGGGTAAAATAAAGACAATGGATTTTTTTTTGCACTATCATAGTGTAGCTTTAACGATGTGATTGGATCACCCGAAACAGATCATAATACAACAAGTAAATAGGGTCATGTGCCCGAAGCCTAATTCCAAATTCAGAATAGCGCATTCTACGGTACCACACTCACTCTACACAGAGAATGCGAGATTGCGAATTGGAAAGTAAAAAGCAAGCGTGCATTCAGAAGTGATTTCATAACCTGCATATTGATAGCGGCTCCCTGATGCCCGCAAATTGTATATACAATATAATTACCCACTATATAATTGCAAGAGAATGCAAAAGCATTGAATATATATTTTTTTTCCTCATATCCCTTCAGGTGCTCCATAGAATGCGTCATTTTCTTTCCGAACACTGTATTCAGCTTCGGGCACATATCAGATCTATCTACTTCCTTCATAAACTAATTCTTCATGACATTTTAAAGAAGCTCAGTGAACTCCTTCAGCTCACCTGTGGAAGTGTTGGTGGTGTGGTCTACACTGGGTCGTGTGTGATTTCCAGTACGTGCCTGGGCTCTGAGCCAGTCTGCATCATCCACCTTTATTAGATTCATCCAGCTGCAGAAGTTTGCCTCAAAGTCACATTGTCCTGAAGGAGTGCAGGGATAGTTTGAAACCTGAACATCATCAAGTGCTATGACTCCCTGTTCAGTCTGGCCTGCAATCCCCTCCACCACAATCTGAAAAGACAGCTGTATTAATGAGGACACTCCTGCAGTTCCACATCATTAAACTCAAGGGTACAAACTGTAGTATAACTTGTGGCAGGGTTTTAAGGCCATTATTTGCAATAATATGTGATTGTAATTCTGAAATAATGCGCTGGACGTTTTAATCAGTCACCAGAGGCAACGCTGACTCAGGTACTCACTCTGTAGTTTGACCCTGAGAGGGTTAGAGGGGTCTGGGCAAACCTCCACAGTCCTCCCTGTTCTCCAGACTTGGTCACCAGCAGGGGCCAATCTTTGTCTGAGAACTGTTGATACACATTTAGGGTC